AGTCTGGGGTTAGTCTCTAAAGTCTTTTCTCAAAAACAAACTTTGCTTTTCATATATAAATAATGCAGCAGGAGATTGTCCAGGTTAGACGTATTCACAACAACATGAAAAGTGTCGTCCATGCAGGAGGTAGGACATGATGTCTGATTTGGGGTGGTGATTTCAAACTGTATTCTCACATGGGCTCACTCTGAGATTTTACTTGGGGGCTGGCACAAAAAGTTCAGGAGAATGTCCAGAATAACTGACTCTGAACATTTTCACACACAGGCCCTCTGGATAATGTCAGGAGAAAGTTCAGTGTATGTCTGAAAGCAGCCTCAGGGTTTCTGGGAGATGTCTGTGGGATTTGAGCCTGTTGTCCTTTTTGATTTTGTCCATCTTGCATTTGCATTTCACTGAAGACAAAAAGTGCAAAGCTTTACTGCGTTCTGTCAAATAAAAACCTGTGTCCACTGCAGACCCGGGAGTGACTGTTGACTGTATCCATTCTCATTACAGTCATTACAGACTGGCTTATGTGATTGCTTGTGACATTGGTTATAATTATAATGACGCTTCTGTGTCTGTGCTTAATACAAGGTCGGTGAGTTGAGTGCAGAGGAGCTGAAGAAGCAACAGGCTGTGAAATCATCTGACCCCTACTCCTCCGATCCAGAGCGCCACCCGGTCCTGCGCATCAACAACCTGAAGCCCTTCAATGCTGAGCCACCTCCTGAAATCCTCTCCGACAGCTACATCACTCCCTCGGCTTTCTTCTTCAAAAGAAACCACCTACCAGTTCCTCAGGTGGACCCGGCATCTTACCAGCTCCATGTGGAGGGACTACCCAGAGGAGCTCTGACGCTGTCTTTAGAGGACTTGAAGACTAAATTCCCCAAACACACCGTCACTGCCACTCTGCAGTGTGCAGGTAACCGCCGTTCTGAGATGAATACGGTCAAGCAGGTGAAAGGACTAAACTGGGGCATTGCTGCGATCAGTAACGCCACATGGAGCGGCGCTTACCTCAGGGATGTGCTGCTGGCAGCGGGCTACGGGCCAGATGTGGCACAGTGGGCTCGCCACGTTCAGTTTGAGGGACTGGACAAGGATGTGACAGGTACGACCTATGGTGCTTCAATCCCTCTGAACAAGGCGGTTGGTGAGGAAGGCGATGTGTTGCTGGCTTATGAAATGAATGGCAAGGAGCTTCCTGCCGACCACGGCTTCCCTGTCCGTGTTGTGGTGCCGGGCACAGTGGGTGCACGTAATGTTAAATGGCTTGGGAAGATCATCGTGAGCGCAGAGGAGAGCAGCAGCCACTGGCAGCAGAACGACTACAAGGGTTTTTCCCCCGGGACCGACTGGGACACAGTGGACTTCAAATCTGCACCGGCCATTCAAGAGCTGCCCATTCAGTCTGCCATCACCACACCGGCCGACGGTGCTGTGGTCGATCGGTCGGAGGAAGAGGTGATTGTTAAGGGCTATGCCTGGAGTGGTGGGGGCAGAGAGGTGGTACGTGTGGATGTTTCTCTAGATGGAGGAAAGACGTGGCAAGTGGCCCAACTGAGGACCAGTGACAAGGGGCAAGCAGCCGAACCTGCACCTCCAACAGGACGAGCCTGGGCCTGGAAGCTGTGGGAAGTGACGGCTCCTCTTCCCCCTGAAGCTCAGGATCTTGAGATAGTTTGCAAGGCAGTTGACAACAGCTACAACATGCAGCCGGACACAGTGGCTCCCATCTGGAACCTGAGGGGTGTCCTGAGTAACGCCTGGCACAGAGTGAAGGTGAAGATCAGAGAGGATGAGGATGAGGAGGAATAGACTCACTTCACATTCTGGATGCAAACATTTAGAGAGTGGACTTTAAATCTGATATTTGGACTCAGCAGGAAAATCAATGACGGAAAAGCAGAGCAGATTCACAGAGACCAAGCACGCACAATATTTTAAAGTTTTTCAACAAATACAGCCGAATGTTTTCCGTCTTGAAGTATTTATGCAGTCACAGTTTCCTGTGGGACTTGAACAGTTTCAGCAGAACAAAGCTGTAGGTTCTAAATAACAAGCAAAAGAGTTGTATCAAGTGACGAGTCACTTACACTTGGATCATTAGTGAATATGTATTTCTGTAACATTTATAGAAAAGAAAACATTTCCTTTTGTAAATTCCTC